CCTATGAACATACATTCCTCAGGCTGTGGCTCATGAAGCCCATGGTCACATAAAGAAGTGCTTCTAAAAAATTTATATTTAATAGTCATGCCTATGTGCAATGCCCTATGGCAGGAGAGCTGCAAAAAGTGTGTCATTTGGCTTTGCAATTATTTTGCAGCTTCTCAGACAGAAGCACCTTGAACACTGCATTGAGCACAAACTGACTTCTCTCCTTTGGCAACTACTGTTTTAACACCGAGGTTTTTTCCATACGTGTTGTACAAAGAACTGAGTCAAGAAGACTAAGATTTGCTGTTACAGGACATGGTTAAGGTCTTCATTGAGTCATTTCTTTCTGTTGTCTAATAACAAAATCTTTAATAGATGAGAAAGACAGCAAGAGTTACATGAACCACTGAAATGCTGTCTTAAAAATAGGTTTGGGCTAAGGAGGACAAGATGCTTGCAAGATATTTTCAGCTATTTCACTGCCCCCAAAGGACTGCTGCTGTGCACATAAGCCACCTAGCACTCAGACATAGCCTAGCAGAGAGTTTAAGTACATGCAACACTTGAAATTTATGACCTGTTCTTTTGATGCTCCCACTTTTAAAGATGCTTATACAGATAGACATAGTTCAGGTGAGTAACATTTTTTTTTTATCACAGATATTGGAGTTTTGTTTTAATTAACAGCACTTTTGCCACATAAAATTATAGTTTGGAAGGAGCTATTAATTTTTTTTTTTTTTTAATTAATGTAGGTTGAATTTGTTACAGACATATCTTACCAGTTTGGGCAGGTGCAATGGGTTGCACTTGGAAGAATGAAGCCTGTGCTTCCATATTTAATAAAAGCTTCAGCAAACCACTTTATTTTTCTTCTGTCATTCCAGTGGACAAACTGCCTGTCTTCTGTAAGACAGCATTTGCCACACACTCCAGAAACACCTTCACATTGCTGGCCGTCCTGCTTCTTCTGAGATGCTTCCCTCTGTTACCTACAGGTTTAGGCCAAAGGTCAAGCAGCATTTGCTGGTACCTTATAAGAGCAGGAATCTTGGTTTATTCTATCTCAGGATATGAAGAGTTGCATCTTTCTGTACTTTGAATACTCCCTGGGGACAGAATGTGATCCATGCAGAGCAGACGCGGTCATCCTTCATGAGGTTATTATGTTTAATACCATGCATATTAAATAAAAAAGTAATGAGACCATTTCTGAGAAGAGTAAATTTGCTTTTATGAGACTAGGGATTCTTTTCACTCCAGCAATCTATTGCTTTCTTAATAATTTACAACACAGATTAGAGATTAAAGAAGAATTTTCTGTAGACGTAAATAAAATCAGTGCAAATTGGTGACAATTAATGGTGATGTTCTTATTATATTCCAATATAGTAAGTAAACAGTTCTTCAGAAATCACAGCATGGTTAACAGAAAAGTATCTGGTTCACAGAGCTTACAAGTCTGTCCTGAAATAATGCCAGATCTTATGTTCATAAGATCTGTTTGTCTGCACTTGCTATGTGACACTTGATCCCACTGTGGTATTGCACTTCGGAATGGAAAAAACCCAACAGTTTAGTTAGGCTTTTAGAAAGCATTAGCTAATTATAGTTTTCATAATCTCCTTCATTTGGAACTAGTCTCCTACTTGTCATAGTTGAGATTATGCCTCCTCTTGAAGCATCCCACACGTTCATTTGCTGGATACTGTTTTTCCCACAAATATGTGTCTCTGATCTCTTAATTCTTTTAGTTTATCTTAAGTGAAGTAGTAGATTCTGAACTATTTGCTGTTTTATTTTTTTCCATGATTGATTTCGGTACAGCTTAAAAATTCAGAGAAAAAAAAAACCAACCATTTTTCCTCACAGCTTTTCTGTGTGCATCTTAATTCAAATGTTATGAGTTCTAAAAATCATTGCACAACAATTTCCAAAATTCCCTAAGTGATGCCCACATGTCTCATTCTTCTTATCTTTAGCTCTGGATGTATTCTCCACACAACAACTTTCTGTATCTGATCATAAAAAATAAACAGACTAATCAACTTTTGCTGAAACTCAATATAGTTCTTATCTAGTGTTCAAATATTTTTCATAATGACAAGAAATGTTTTGTAACTTTTCAGATAAAATTTGAATCAGAGAACCATAAAAACACTTGGTTTGGGAGGAAACTCAGAGTCATTTAGTCCAACCTCCATAACAAATGGCAACCCCAAAATATCTCATATATGCTTCAGATTATGTCTTAGAATGACATACATAGTTTCACCTAGCTTATGATCTGCCTGGAAAGTTTATTCTTTAAGATGCCTCATTTCATTTCACTTACTGATATAAATTTTGGAAAGAAGTATAACCAGTGATCTCACTAGTTTCTGGATGGAATGAAAATACTTTCCACATGGTTGGTTAATGTAGAATATCCAGGGTATCATATGCTGATGGAGGATAATACTGAAACAATATGGGAGAATAAGACTTTTGAAGTCCCAAGCTTTACACTAGATGAGATTAACTTTTCTACAAGAACAACTGATTTTAGTGCAAGGCAATTGTTACATGAACAATTAAGGAAGCATCCAGAGGACTATCTATGTAATAAAAATAGTGAATAGACTCTGTGGATGCTGTGACAGAGACACAAAGATCAGAAAAAGAAAGACCTGTCTTCACTTGACATGAATATCTCCACTGATGTACCAAATGGGAATTAGGAAGGATATAATTATTTCATTGCTAATATTAAGCAGTGCTAAGATAATGTTGTTCTATGTATCTGCATTAGAGATAGTGGAAGAGTGCAGGTGAGGGAGACACAGGCCACAACACAACACCTGCCCAGACAGGGCAATCTATGTTTCCTGCACCTATTTCCTATCCATTTTCCAGTTTCGGTCTGCCTCCATTTTCCAGTATGCACATCTCACAGTCCTTTTCTGCATCCCTTCCAATGCAAACCATTCTGTGGTTTTGTGATTCTTCATGTCCTTCTTTTCCTGCTGGCATCTTATAGCCTCCTTCCCAGGCTCTTCACAATTTCTTGTTCAGATTCTAGAATGCAGAACCCAAAATACCTTTATTAGAACTGTTTTCTTGTCACCTCAGAAGTTGCCAGAGAATGCTGCTTATGAAAATCATGTAAGGGGTTTTTATCTGTCACTGGAAAAAACAGGAGACTATAGTCATGACGAATAAAAGCAACTATTTTTTTAAGACACTGTTACTGGGAAGAGTGAAATTGGGAAAACACTGCAAAGAAACAGAGAGAATTTGAATTCTTACCAGAAGTAAGATTATCGTGCCAGGTAAAGATGTTTTTCTAAGCTAAAGTGACTCTTCTGGGGCTTCCTGCATCCCTGTTCTGTCAGCATGCGAAGTGATGAGAAAGGCCAGGGAGCTGGTAAGGGACATGGAGATCTCTTCAGGATTTCTTCTTAACTTCTCCAGGGAAGTAAGTGTAAATGTGCAAGTGAGCTACCGTTCACCTCTCCCTTCACTAACATCTTTCTGCCTGTTGTCAAGATTACCTCATTGGCAACTTTCCTCCATCTCATTCTTTACCTTGTTTCAGGTTTTTCAGGCCATCTCTGCCCAGTAGAGGGCTGGAACACTTTTCTGTTTTAAAACTGCGAGGTGACCCACAGTTTGTTCTGTCGATCTGGTACTCATGGTTTTCCTTTATCTGTTGCCAGAACACTGAAGTTAATGTGTTTTGTTTTTTTTGCTACTTGAGAGAAGTAACTACTTTGTATGGAATGTTATGGAAGACAGCTCTGGTAGAGATAGGGCCAGCACATCATGACATTTTCAGAGAATGCCTTGTACTGGAAGAGACCTTGAAGATCATTACTTCCAACATCTATGTATGATATTTTCAAGCACAGCAGAAATTTATCAGAAATTTGAGAAAGCTGATCCTCATTTCCCAGTAAGAAAATATGCAATGACTTAACATTAAAAGAAAACCACTTCCTCTTAGCCCCAGTCAGTATCAGGGGACTCATCTTCATCCCATGGCACTTCTGGTAGTGAAGGTGGTTCTGGACTAAATATATGCATTTTCTTGCAGATATCTCGCTCAATTTCTGTATAATCTGTGGATTAAATCTTGATCATTTAATCACATTCCTGTACTTCCAGTTTACATACTGACATGGCCCAACTGGAATTCTCTTTGCTTCACTTCAGTAAGAACTCTACACAGGCCTAAGGCAAATGCAAACATACAATTTTCTGAAGTGCAGATGGACAAATGGCATGTCTGCAGGTGGTGGAGTTGGTCTAATGGTTACGGTGTACTCAAGAATACAGTGGCATTCCTGAAGATATTTCTGTTTTTCAGCAAATGAGATTCTTAGATTACAACAGTTACATTGCTGCAGGTTTTGAACATGCCCTGACAGTGAAGGAAAGATACTGAAAAAGGAGATTTTGCAGCAGCCATGTTGCCCACCTGTCGTCAAACATCTGGGGATGTTTGGATACAGCTACAAACTGCATTGTGTTTGTGGAGTTAATGAGGAGCAGAAAGAAGGAGAATGCCACTAACAAAATAGCATCTTTTGAATGCAATTTAGTGAAACTACATCAACAGTATGAAAATACGCATAGGTACAGATCTGCATATTACATTTGTAATAGGATTGCATTTGTTACTGTAGAGGCATTTTTCTGTATTTCAGTAGCACACATGCACAGAAGTGCTGCCACTGAAATTATTTTTTTTTCTCCTATTCACTTTTTATTAAAAAAACACTTTATGTAAATTCAAGAAACTGTAATAGAGTTACTGCATCCCTTGCAGGCTCACAGAAATTGTTTTTCATGAGTATTGCCAATGCCAATGCGAAAATTAGAGGATATGTTAAATCAAACTCAGAATATCCAGCCAGAAATACATCCAAATACAACTTTGAATGAAGTTTTAAGCAGTATTTAGTGAAAAATGCTTAATAATAATAAAAAGAAGCAGCTTTCAGTAAGTATTTGTTTTCTCACTGTTGTTTTGGTAGAAGGGTTAGCTCTTTTCTACCCCTTGTTTCTGAAGAAAGCATGAATTGTATGCTTTGTCACTGACAGAAGAAAAAATACTGCTCAATTTTTCTGATTTTTCTTTGCATGGAATATAGCTTAGTCTCTTAAGAGACCAGAAACAAAAGAACATTCTCAATTTGCCAGCACAGCTCGCAGTAAAACAGAAATGAACACTTTTGGTAGCACTTTTACAAATGTTCTCATGTCAGAAGTTGTTTTCAGACAAAAACCTCACCCTCTGAAAACAACTGTTTTAAAAGATATCAATGAATTGCTCCATGTTTCAGGTCAAAGTTATACAGTACACACGTTTTTGACTGCTGTCTCTTCACTGTGCCCAAGCAGGCAGCAGAGGGCACAGCTCCCACAGTGCAGATATGTGACCATGCCTCCTCCTGTTCAAACGTCTTCTGACTGTTGAAACACTGCAGGTTCCACAGTGAGGGAGATCTCTGAAAGAAGATGTTTATATTGCATTATTTATCCAAGAACAGATTACAGAAATAAAGTACAGAATCGCAGACTTGAATGTGCCTAATAAAATTCCCAGAACACGGGAAATATCAAGGATCAGTGGGGTATTTATTTAAATAAATATTTTAATTGTACAGAACACCAAAAAACTGAATACATTTGAAACATGAAAAATTATTTGGACAAATATCTGCTCCACACATGCAGCTCAAATTTATTCCCAAGCCATAGCAGTAACATTAGGCAAAGCTATGTTTAAACTGATCAGCAACTCCTTCTGAAGGGTCTGAAGCCAGACCATTTATTATACAGGTAACAATTTTCAGCATATTTCTAGCAGAATAATCTGATTTCAACCTGTGGACCTAAGCCCTCAAGTCTGTGGATTCTTCTCAAGGTGAAAGACAAAGGAGAAGAGTAAGCTTGATTGCAGTAGGCTTTGATTCTTGTGTGTTTTTCCTTTTTCTGGTAAATATTTAAGTATTGGACAATCAAAAGTTTGAAAATATTTACTGCAGGGCATTTAAAATGCGCTATCATGACATGTCATTTTATATGTTATATCTATAAGCCAGATAAATTCTGTTGCAGATATATATGCTTTCTTTACACATTAATGAACAAAGTTAAAAGGAAAAAAAACCCAACCATACCATTACTCCATCATTTCTAATGCAGCTTGTTTCGTGCATCAGTATACCTGTAAATGATAAAATGTGTACATTTATTACCAACATATCTCCACTTTATGAGGTATAGTTTTTTTGGGGTTTTTTCTCCCTACAATTTTTCCTCAGATCAAGTGATGCGTGATGGCTTGGAAGTGACCTTATTCTAGTTAACTCCAAAGCCTTCATAACCTGCCAACTATCCTACCACAAGAGTGTCTACAATACAGATAAGACAGGATCATCTAGGATGACCGTAGCATTACAAAAACAATGGTATCTTAGCTGGACTTGATGATCTGCAGAGGTCCTTTCCAACCCCTACAGTTCTGTGATTCTGTGTGATTTTCTGCATACAGTAACTAAAAAGTGGTGCTGTAAAAGCCAGGGAAAACTTTCTGAAACTTTCATTATTTTGCAGGGCTTTTTTTCTCACAAATGAATGCAATCTCAAGATTTGTAGTGTTAGATGCCTCAAAACTGAAAACTTTACATTTTCCTTAGATTTAATATTTTTCAGAATATTTTCTACTTTTTCTGGCTGGTGACCTTAAAATAAGAGTACTTTCAATTAATTCCTATATTGTGTTTGTGTTTACTTTCACAGTCATAAATAAGGTCAACAGGCATCTTGCTTTGAGTAAGTTAAACACATCTATAGTAGTTCACAGATTTAGAGCTTTAGACATTAAAATTTGCCCACATTGATTTGAAAGCCAGGGATTCACTTCTATTTATACTGTAAAGGTTTTGCCAAGGATATCACATTTCTTTAAGCCCACTTTCCTGGAAAGGTGCTAACAGTTTCCCTGTGGAGTGTAGATAGCCTAAAATGTGGAGGCAATAATCAGTGCTTGATGGAATACAGGCTTGTGTTTTAAAAAGCTTGATACCATCCATGCTTGTTACCTCAGCCTTCTTACATCCTGTGCTTCTGTGACATTTCTTGTGGTTGCTGCTATAGCATTTTATTCCCAGAGTTTGAATGCTTTAGTCTAATTTGATAGTGCCTGGACCACAAGTAATCCAGAGGATTGCACAAAAGCCACAAAAGTAATGATAACATGCTTTAAATCATATTATTTTGTTTACATTTATAGATATCATACTTCAATCCCTATTGCAATTTGTGAAAACCTTTCACTTTGGAAAAAAAGTTTAGTGCTCTTTGAGTTCAGAAGTCTTTCTATCATAATGTTATGAAAACCCTTGAAATATTTTTCTGTTAGGTGGAAAAGGGACTGCAAAGTGCTGTGCAACAACATGCAATGCCGTGATATCACCTATCCTTCCTAAGCTGCATCATTTTACCTCCTGAGATTTAGTTATTTGGAGAAAAGCTAGTTGAACAGCCAAATTGGAATGTCAGAAATTAAAACAAGCAGTAAGGGTTTATTCAAAAAGATACTTGCTTCTTTTCCTTTGCATTCTGATTCATAAGTTTTTAAAAAGAGCCCCTTCATAATAATACTGCTTTATCAATATTCATACAGCAAAAAAATGATATTGTTTTCAATAGTTTTTAAGTTAAAATTGTAAGAACCAAAAGCACTTTAATTAAAGAACACAAATAATTAATTTAACAGTAGTGATAGAGTCATAGTTAAAACTGAGGTGCACTTAGGGAGTATAAAAAGGTGTAAGGGAAGGAATCATAAGCCAGTTGTGTTGGGTTTCAAGAAGCAATCCAGTTGTCCTGTCAGTCAACCATGCTGTGCTGCACTGAAATCAGAGATATAGAATTACTTTAGAGCCGGGCTGATGAGACAGTAAAAAGGTCATAACTCTAAAATCTGGCTCCTCTTCCAAGAGATCACTTTACTGAATCTCTGCCATGCTCACCTCGCACAGAAAGAATATTTTTCATAGTCAGAAAATTGACATTGATTATCTGATCAAGCAAAAGATACTGTGGCAGTTTTTGCACAGTATATTCCCATTGCATCTATCCAACAAGACAAGATTTATATTTCCCTTTCCAATTATTCTTAAAACTTCACTTCTTTCTTTGTTAGTAAGTACAAAATAATCTCACTCCAGTTTGCTATATTGTTTTTTATTGACTTTCTTTTTTTTAATCACATTGTGCCCATATCATGCTAGAATGCACCATCTCTTTCACTCACATTATGCAGTTTCAGATCTCTCTGATTTAGTCTTGTCTACTTGGTCACTTTCTTTTTTCTGTATTTCCACGGGTAGTTCTTGACCACTGACAAGAAGTTCTTTCCTATTGTTTATATATATCTAATTCTATTTGACTACTACTACAGGTGACCAATAGCAGACAAGAAATTGGCTTTTCTACTCTGCTATGAGTGTGACTATCTGCGCTTGATTTGCTGCTCTGGCTTTCACAGGAGTGAAGGAGCTTGTCCTGTATTATTTCAAAGAAACAGTGATAACTGATGTTAGATCTGGTTAAAATTCAGTATTTCTCTCTGCAAAGTTTATGAATTTTAATCTTGGATGCTGATTTTCCTAAGAAAAGCATTTAAATGTGCTTTGATTCACAAAATGAGTAATGTCTGAGCCTTGAACAACTATGGCCAAATTCTCAGGCTTAGATGTTCCTCCTGGACCCCTAGCAGTCGTAGAAGTCAAACAGGGAGAGACACTTATGGGCCATTAATAACCTTTAACTCACAGCTCAAAACCCAGATTTTCTCCTCACTGAGAGGGACTGCTAGTCCCAAGTGCCCAGGACAAAGTGGCCATTTTGGGCCTCCTGGCTTGGCTGCCATACAGTTCCAGATCCATTGGCTGCATCTTTTTACAGTGTGATGCCACATTTAGTTTCCAAAGCCTCAAAACTTGGTCTCTGACAGCAACCTGAGTCTGTTTTGACACTGAACATGGTACTAATTTAGCACAGACACTCTAGAAGGTGGCAATCAAGGCTATGGCTGGCCTCCTGCTTCCCCAAACCCCTGCAGGGGTCCTGAAGCCTTGTGGTAGGACCTGTTACTGAGCTTTTCAAAATCTCTCCAAGTCAAAGCCTGGCCAGGCCCAGGCTTCCTATTACTTCAGATTGATCTGCCAGTTTTGCTATTTTCGTTTCTCACATAGTTTACATAAGGTTTTCCAAGTTGTGCGCTTTTCACATCAAGCAGAAATGAGGTGATGAAGTGAGACACTGAAATCTGGCTGGGAATCTTAGTAATGTGGCTAAGAAACTGGATAGGAACTAAGCAGGTGAAGCTGTTTCTCTTTCAGCAGAGGTCTAAAGTGGTTATTTTCCATTCTTGTAAGGCATAATTTCAAACAGCAAAAAATTACCAGAAAATCGGTTCTCAGCTATGACTGAGATTCACCTAAAAACTATCATATTTTTAGACATCAGTGCCACGAGTTCTACAAGTTATATAGCGTTACTTGTACAATAGTATCTGTAAACCCCAACGTCAGCTATGGACATCTGCAAAAGCAGATATCAGTAGCTTTCTATTACTGAGAACAGTCTGTAAGAAAAACAGGAAAATACCATTGGGCTCCATTCCTGCAACTCAGGATGACAAGGCAATGCTCACACAGTCTGTGATAAACTTTGTTTTATAGAGAAATGATGATTACGTACGCTCAGTTCAAATGTTTACAAATATAGATAATAACACAACTATTTAACTATGCTGTAGTATTTATCAAGCATACACTCCTAAAAATACAATCACGCTTTCAAGTGTGTATGATAGAGAGTTTAAGCCAGACAAAATCCCATACTTAGCTTTAAAACAGAGTCAGAATGTCATATCTTACTGATGATAGATGTGACTGAATGTGAATGTTCTTGAACCGTAAAATAGGACCTACTTCAGGAGAAAACTTTGGAAGCTGGGCTTCATTCATGCACTTAGTCAGGTATTGATCTGCAAGAAGATTATCTTGAAGATTCCCAGCAGTACAAAACTGGCTTGAGACCATTCCCCAAATATCTGAAGGACTTGTAGGACTTGATAGGCTTTGGATGACCTTTTTTATTAGTCATAGCATTGTTGATATTAATTTACACGGCTTAGAGTAGAAATCTTCATTTGTTTATTTGTTTTACTGCGGACCTGATCAGTGGCAGAAGTTATAACTTATTGCCAATGGAGACCATCAGTCTCCTGTTGGTATTCAGACCAAGGAAGTAAAAAAAGATGAATCACTGGGACTTCTCAAAATGTTCTGGAAACTTTCCACATGCGAAGACATTTTCAATGTTGGACACTCATTCCGTGTGAATTTTGAAGAGAAAAATAATTAATGGGTTAGTAAAAGGGGGATCTGAAAAAAAGCACCAGAGATATTTTCCTTCCAGTCTCTTATTTTTCTAATTTTTGTTGAAAACAAGATGAGATGACCTTTAGGTGTATTTATAAAGCTTACGGCATGCTTTCTAATTTTATGATTTCTGTCAGTTGGCAACACCTGTAAGTGCCACAGAAGATCCAAATTATGTCCCATAAAAGTAAGACTTGTTGGCAAGTTTCTAGTGTTTATGGCAAAAAAAATGACTGATGATTTCCCAGTAGAAAACATCCAGAATAATAACTGTTTTGGGGAATAGAAGGTAGAAAAAGACTTTCTAAACATAAACATTCAATTGCTTTTTGGTTTTAAAGCATCTTGATGGAGGAGATTTATACATACAGAAAAGTTAATCACAACACACTTCCTATGAAATCACTTGGGCCCAAATTATTTTTCCTCTGATGCTCTTGTTACCTTCACAGCAAGGGAGGACGGTCCTTTGTGCTACTTTGCGTTTTGCAAGCACCTAAAGAACATGAGGCACATAACATTGTGCACAATGAAATACAGGTGCTTGTCACTATCCTAGGAATCTATACACAAATGCATATGTAAGCAAAGACTTTATGATAATGACCAATAAACACTATCCAAGTATACCTGTGACATCTTATATTTTAAATTCATAAAATATAAATGGATATAATTGTTACTCTGTAAAGAAAGAGGCCTTTAAAATACTCTCACAAATAATAAAGATTTTAACGGGAAGTGAATTTCACAAAGTAGGACAATTTCTTCTGCAATTACTGACATACAGTCAGTATTCCTGGCAAACCACCACTTTTCTGTATGCTTTACCATATGACTTGAATGTCACAAAGTCTTTACTGATTGATGCCTTTGTTATATTCTATGCATTTGCAATGCTGACTGGTAGATATGTTGCTGGAACCTAGACTGTAGCAGTTTCATTTCTGCTGGGGCCAAACTGATAAGCAAGGCTCAGAGCACACAAGGGATATAAAGAAATATGCCTCAGAGGTGGAGTCAATGAAAGAATAGCCAAAGTCACATTTTCAAAATCCAGACACATCCATCAGTACCAAGGGGAGGGGAGGGGGAAATAAGCATGGGTAGATTGCATTGCATTGATGATAATTCTATTTTGCAAAAGCAATAGTATACTTGCATGTAAAAAGTTGACTTCACAAGAAAGAATTAGGGTTTTATGGTCAGTACTTATTAAGCTAAATTTATCTGACCTGCATTTAAGTAGTGAAATAGGGCTGAAAGCTGCAGATACAAAAGTAACACCAGCTAAAGGTTGAAAATTTCAAATATGCAAATACATTCATCTTGTTACTAAATCAGCTGCTTTGTAGAGAGTCTGATCGCCCAGTGCCCTGCTATAATTGTAGCTTGAGCTCCTCACAGACAAAAGCATCCTGATTATTGCAATGTGGGTTTTGTTGGCTTTTCAAAAACAGCTGATAAGATGGAAACACAGGAGAAACTAATGAAGAGAAAAGGTAGGAAAAGTTATCCAACAAGAACCCCAGCAGCTGTCAAGCACATTTACTGTCTTCAGATAATGAAGGAAGATCTGTTTTACAGATAACAAATAACACCTCTGAAGTAACAAACTTTTGTTTTCTAGTATCTTTGTCCTGCTAACAGTTATCAGCATTCCAAGCAAACAATTCATGTTCAATCCACGTAACGTTATCCTTTGGCAGGTTTTAGATTTTGGGAGTATTACATACGACATGACAACCTAATAAAAACAGATAATTTGTTCTTAATTTAGGCACGTGGAACACGCAGCCAGAAGTGCATTCCTGACAGGAGATTTTCTGCTTTGGAGAGTGCTAGAGCTATCTCATTTGATACAGACAAGATAAGAAAGGGGTGTCCCTCTGGAGTTGCTTCCTGCCATAAATAGATAGTGCACTCAAGCAGTGTTGAAGCAGCACTATTAAGTGTTTATTAGTTTGCCTTGAGGCAATGCTTTAAATGATTTTTAAACAGTAAAAATAGGTTGAAAAAACTTGTTCCACTTTAAAATATACCAAAGTACTCATTAGATCAGAACTTTAAAATTCTAGGCAATATATGATAACTTCCATGTTGTGTCTCTAAATGGCAGAATTTCCTCTTGCAGTAGAAGTTTAGGTACTTTTCTGGCCATGTTGCTGAAACACGAAACAAATGGTTCTGTTCTACAAATTGGAGTTACATAGTTGGTAAAGAATTGTGAAGCATATTAATGGGTGTGAAGGTAGATAATGAAGGATACTATGATTTCCACATTATTTAAGTTTTGGAAATTTATATTTCACATTAAAAAAAATAGCACAAGAGATAATAAGCAATGTATTACACTTAATAAAAGCTTCTTAAAATGCTACTAAAGCAAGTACTAGCAAAACTGAGAAGTTGTAGAAATATTCATGTTGAATGCAAACCATCCAATGCCATTATACTTATGAACATCAATGCCATTATACTTGTGAACATCAATCTTTTGCAGCAAGACTAATGTGTATAAACATTGCACCATGTGTAAAAAGTGAATACACTCCTCAAAATCCTGTTTAAGCTATTACATTTTTAAACATATGGAAGAGAAGACATGCACTGAAGACTGTTAGCAGTAGGGTTAGAAAAAAACATATATACCTATTAAGCTGTGATTTTCCACTTCTTTCTGTACTTACCCCTAAATTGCTTTTGGGAATATCTGTAGTTCTGCCCATTTGAAGATATTGGCTAGATATGGGAACTGACAATGCCTGAACAATTCATCAGAACACCATAAATAAGCCGGCGTTTGTAAGCAGGTTCTCAGTTTCATGATCAGACCCAGAGAGTGCAGAGTGGCATTTTTAACAGTTGTACTCAAATTCCAGCATATCTTCATAATAGAACCAGCAGAAATGATTCTTTTCAATTGCTTTTCAGCTTCATCTCATTAACTGGAATGCAGAGAAGTATTCAAATGTAGCCGAGGCTTTCTATAAGTAGGATGATTTGGCAATTCTCACTGTTTTCCTGAAGGTCAGTTAATGACATACTAATAACATGTGCATTTCTCTTTCCTTATCAAAACTGCACTCAGTGATGAGGACTAGAAACAGCATATCGTTTGTGTTAGATCAGTGGAGATGACTGTCTGTTATCCCAGCTTAGACAATATTGCCAACTTTGCTCATCTCTCTACACAGACGTTTAGCCCAAATCCACATTTCATACACAGAGCTTTCACGAAGAGCTGTGCTTTGCAGGCATGCTTGCTTGAGAGCTTGTGGAATTTCACCCACCTTTGTAACAGGTGGTGCTAACCTTTCGTGTTTCCACTCTGTTTACAGTGATGTAAACTTTCACAGAAAGACAGTTTGAGTCACATGTGCTACTACAATCAGAAAATAAAATTTTAAAGCACCATTCCAAGAACTTTTGAAGCCATGCACAGAGTCTACTTGGCCTTTTTGCTGAGGCAGCATAAAATAATCCACATTAATAAGGAATTACTTATGTTAAAATAATATCATAAAACAATATATTATTATATACCCTGAAATATAATTACTCATAGTCCACATTGTAGAAAAATACCAGCGAAATCACCTTTCTGAATGCTTCCAAAGTGAATTTGAAGGATAAACACAACTCTTGTAAAACAAAGCCATCATACCCTTCTGAATTACACATTAGTACTTGTATTACTCTTTGCATCATGCTAAAAAACAGAAGCAAAACTTCTTGTTATTTTCACAACAGTTCTAAATTTATCTGAGTCACAGTGGGTTTGCAAAGCTGATCATATCAAAATTTTAAAAGCTTATTCTCTGTGGTGTTAGAATAAAACTTCTGTCAAGAATTCAGGTTTTTAAAAGTATTTTTTTTAATTATTATTTACAGCTTGATCCGTGCAATGAAAACCTGAAGGTTGTCTGGAAGGCCTTAGATTCAGAAAAGACTGAAGTAAACATCATCACAGCCTGATCATAATATACTGAATAGTTAAATTAAAATCCATGCTGTTTCTCTTCTTCCTTTTTGAAGACCTCAGATTAAGGCAAGGATTCAGCTGAAGGAGCTGTTGTGAGATGGGGCTGCAAGTATATTCCTCAGCATGAGTTTATGGGATCCTGATTCCTCAGTTCTATACATCCGTCTGCTTAAAATTACCTCTGGTGCCCATCACCAGCACATCCTTGGAACTGAAGTTGAGAAGAGGAGAAAAGGGAGAAGAAATAACATCAGAACTGTGTGTTTCCTAAACTGTCTTGAAAATCCAGGGCAGCTTCTGCTAAACCTTGTGCAGCAGTACAAAATAGGTGAGATGGGATCTGAATATCTGAATTTTAGTGAGGCACATTAAAAACACAGTATAGCTTTTCCCATACAATTTTAAAAAAGAATGTAGACTTTGCCTCTGAACATGCAAACATTAAACCTTCCATTAACCTCAATGCACAGATGAAGATTAGCTGTATACTGAAGTGTTTCACTTCCTCAGGAGCACAGCACCTTGAAAAATAAACCCTTTGGTCAGTGATGATTGAACCAACTCTTTGATACCTAATAGGATTGGGGATGTAGAGGAAAGTGGTTTTTTATTCATTTGTTTGTTTTTGTTTGTTTATTTTAAAGTAATATTGCTCATTATTGTTGTTACCTGTTTGTGTCACCAGGGTGATTCACCTCTGCTGCTATGAGAAAACATTAGTGTTTTGAAATAACTTCATATGATTTAGGAACATATCAGACTGTAGTCTGAAATTTTAAGCAAATGAAATCTTAATCACGGGTTTCATTAAGCCAACATATCTTCTGCAAGGTAAACAAGCTCCATTTTCTGATTTTGATCCTTCAAGTCTACTGCATCTTTGGATCTTCAGTGGCTCCCTGACTCATCCTCCCCTCCATAAGAGTGTTATCTAGATTATTTTCAAATAACCTCTTTCTGTCTGCTCAGAGTACATACAGTATTACAAAAAACAAGAGCTTCTGGGACACTGTCATGTTGAATTGCATTGCTGCATTTTAGGTCAGTTTGTCTCACTTGTAATATAAAATCAATATTGCCTTTTTACAGCGTTATTGTTCTTGATAAACATTTACAATTCTGCCTCAGCCCAGTTAGTTAAAACTACTCATATCTTGCAAAGTCTTGTGGGAGCTGAGATAACTTCATATTTCTGGAGATAGTTCCATTGCTCAGGTAAAGATGGTTTGCTTCTGTACGTATGTGTATTTCCTTGTAGTGATGTGTTTCCCAGAGCAGCAGTTCTTCCTAATTTCATTCGTATGAGACTTTCCCCCCAAAATACATATTTTCATTAAACGTCAGCCCAAATGTGTCTGAACAGGGGATTTTGTGGTATGCCAAAACAGCAAAATGGCGCAGTGCATTACTTACTCCATTAAGTGCTATCATATGGAGCTGCACTGGCTGCTTCCCATTTTATAACACTGTCTGCAGGACAGAAAATCCAGTCTCTCACTACTTATCAAGAAAAGTACTCATTCTGTTCTAAACTCTTATGAAACTGTCTTGTATTGTGAGTGAAATTAATAGGTACATAGGTTCTTTCAAGGACAGTGTATGCATCTAGATGAGATGTCTCTTGCTTTTTGCAATTAAATTACTTATGTTACTGGAAATTACTGATGGCTACTGTTTTGACTAATAAAAATGGTTTATTTTTCTGAACTTCTCAGTTCAGCTGATGTATGTTGAATTGAAAATAAACTAATAAAGAACCTTTAAATGAAACAGTATTGTAACAGTGTTTTCAGAGAAATTGTGCTATTATTACTGTTTTATTTCACCTGCAACATCTAATGAAGAATATGTGCACTGACATGTGACCATGCAAAAATAAAGTATGTAGGTCTGGTTTCTCGAGCAAAGCAATGCTCAGCTTTACAAATGGCTCTAGCATTGACAACTGAATTATTTGATAGCCAGCAGTGGCAAAGGTCTAGACAAGATAAGTTAGACTCTGCAAGATACAGCACAAATCACTAGAAGAGAAATTAGGCTTCCAGGTTGTGATTTGAACATTGTCTATCTGAAACAATGGAGTACCTTCATTATGTGATTTGACTATTATCTGTTGAGGTATTGCAGCACGTTACTACACATAGCCTTGACATTTGTATGCCTTTGGATATACAGCAGTGCTGTAAATATTTGCAGTTCCTCACACTTTCTCCATTAAGCACAGAAAACTGTATGTGCTAAAAAAAGAAAAGAAAAAAAAAAGAAAAATCTATTCTCAACTGAATAACCGTGTCTTGCTGATCAGCGATACCTATTCCAATTACCAATTCAAGAGAACTAGTGAAATATGTCTTTCTGTCCACGGCTGTACAAAAAGAATTACAAAGAGGCCAATAATTCCCTCTGGTACTTGATACCTTCTTAATAAGCAGCGAAGAAACCAGAATGCTTGTTTCTTCCTTAGTATAGCAATTGCATCAGAATCATAGAATGAATCATAGAATGGCCTGGGTTGAAAAGGACCATAATGATTATCTAGTTTCAACCCTCCTGCTGTGTGCAGGGTCACCAACCACTAGACCAGGCTGCCCAGAGCCACATCCAGCCTGGCCTTGAATGCCTCCAGGGAACTTAAATTGCTTAGAAAATCAAATGGATGTACTTATGGCAACTAAGAAAATGAAAAAGCAATTCATAGTCTAGGAAGATGTAAGGGAAAAGAAATGTCCTTGACTTGATCAAGGTAAGACAAATTCCTTTCATAGTATCTCTAAACTTTGGCTAGCAGTGATGTAGAGGTGGCTTACTTTTATAACAAAGAAAAGAGTAAAATGAAAACTGCATTTTATTTCAAGACATAAAACTATCACTATATTGACATCTACTGGCTACATAAAAAAGAGTGAGAAAAAAATTAGTGCAGTTGTTTGAATGGATGATTGAGTGGCAAAGACTTGAGAAAACTACACAGAAAACCTAAGTATTTTAAGTCTTATTTTAAGAATACAATTTTCTGTCTTTTACATTAAAGTTAATCATTTTCTCAGTTGGTGTTTGATGTTCAATCCATACATAAAAATATGGATATCTGTGTGCTGTGCATCAGTAGCCAAACCCTATAGTAAGTCACTCACAGTTCCAAATGTAGACAAATGCATGCTACCACTTAGAAAGATATTCTGGAGAACCACTGCAAAATTTCTCATTCTGTCAAGAGTCACAAAATAAAGTAACTGCTGAAATATAGTTCTCTCATAGTTCTACATTTGTCAAAGAGCCCCTTAACATATAGCATCTGATCAGCAAATCAGATATCACATCAGGTTCCAGCAGCACCTTCCATCTTCAGCATTGTCAGGCTCATTAAAGAGTCATTTGTGGTGCTTACAGGACAGAACCAGATAGATTGCATTCATTTCTTCTTTATCCATTTCTTCCTAATTCAACTTCTCATTCATGTTGAGGAAAACAGTATTGTTATAACTACACAGATGTCCACCAATGTGTGTGCTTTGAGAACACTCAGAAAAAAAACATTGTAGATGAGATAGCTCAAGGCAATATAGGCAATGGTTGATGATACAGATTAGGGATTTTACCGTGTGTTCTATAGTTGCCTTGGAAAAGAGAAGACCTTGTCTTACTTCATAGCTCTGATCACCCTTGTATCAAGTACAGCAATACAGGGAATGCAGAGTTGACCAAACCTGGCAGTTCAGAACAGGAAACAGAGTGTGAAGGCAGCTAACAGCAATGCTGGGCAGTAAAATAGAACCCTGAGAGTTGAAGTCACTCACAGTAGATCATTTAGAAAACAGTCAGATAAAATATTACATCTTGAAGCTCTAAAAATAGCTTTCAGATCAAGCCACTTGTTAAAATCAGCATATTCACTGGCTGTTCTGACTGTTTTGATTGCATTATTTACCAAATAAAAGAAAAGATTTGGTGAAAAAATCCAACCAAGATTGATGATATATTGCTATCTACAGAAATCTAATGCAGTGTAGCTTCACTGCATGCTTCTCTCAGG